CTTGTTTCTCACTCAAAAAAAATGACATGTAATGGGGAGCCGAGTTTAAAAAGTGCAATGAGCTCAGAAAGCCCCTGGGGCAGCAGGGGCTGGATCCCCTGCACGGGGCACCCCACGGGAGCAGGAGGGGGCGGGGGGCGGTCCCCCGTAGCGCACCGCTCGAGGCCGGGTCTCCTTATAGGGGGCGCAGTGTGGAGCAGGGCGGGCCCCCCTGAGGGGGTGCGGAATGGTACGGCCCTCTCCCCCGTGGGGTCCCCCCACCCCCACCCCGGCGCTCGGTACCTGCGGCCGCCGCCGCCTCCATCTCTTCGTTTACCCGGTTGCTAGGCAACCGCTACAGGACCGCGGCGCCTCCTGGGAAATGGAGTCCGAAACCCAGCCGGCGCGGGTCCAGTGCGCATGCTCCGGCGTAGCGGTGGGGGCTGGGCCGTGTTGCTCTCAGCACCCTGGGGCGTGGAGTCTGCCTCCTGGGGGTGGGGTGGGGCGGGGTGTGTGTGAGAGTGAAAGAGAGGAGTGTGTCATAAAGACACGTGTATATATGTGTAGGAGAGACAGGTGCACGTGTTATTAGGATGTGTGTGTCATGAGGAATCGTGTGTGAGAGATGGGTGTGTGTTTCAGGGCACGTTTGTGTGAGATGGGTGTGTCTCATTTGGATGTGTGTGTGTGTGTGGGAGTGACTGGTGTGAAAGATGTGGGGGTGTCAGGTCACTTGTGTGAAAGATGAGCGTGTATTGGTAGGGGATGTGTATGAGGGAGTGTCATTAGAACAAGATTATGTGTCGTTAGGACGTGTGTGTGAAAGGTGCATGTGTCAGGATGCACATGTGCATGTGTCATTAGGACACTTGAGAAGTGTGTGTGTGTCAGGATATGTGTGTGAGAGTGGGTGTGTATCATCCTGTGTGAGGACATGTGTCATTAGGACATGCATGAGGCAGGTGTGGTGTGTCAGGATGTGTGTGTGTAACAGATAGGGGGTGTTTCTTTAGCAGGCATAAATTGTTGTTGGCCCCATCTGTGACTTTTAGCCCCAGATACAACCAATTGTTTAACATTCTGCCAACTTTCAGATCTTAGCGCTTTTACAATGCGCGCGTTCTCTCTCTCTTTTACTAGGCAAAACACTCTAAACACTGCCTCTGGCTGCCTGCCACCATCTCCTGCGAACCAAGCAGGGTGTCTCTTAAGATCTGATAGCCTCTCCTTAGCTTCAACTTCTAGGATCTGTTATAGCAGTGAAGACATTTCCCCCCTCATGGATATGGGCATAACCTTAATTGAGCTCTACATTGGAGTTGGGTGCAAAGCTGCAAGCAGATTTAAGTCTGTGTAGATACTTGAGCCCTCCCCTCCCTTCATTTGGTTCCAGTCCAGCTCTGCTTATAGATTCATAGATGTTAGGGTCAGAAGGGACCTCAATAGATCATCGAGTCCGACCCCCTGCATAGGCAGGAAAGAG